AGATATAAATAGGAATTGCCCCGGACTGTCGATTCGCCCTTGGAAAAAGAGAGGACAGAATCTGGGGTTTGGAAAAGGGGAGAAATCGTGGGGATGCGGAATCGGAGAAAGGTATAGGACAGGTTCTCGAAATTCGAAAAATGAAGAAAACCAAGGCGCGGCAAAACGAATACTCTAAGTTCTTCTGTGCGTGAGGACAGTTGCCTTTGTTGCCTCTTGGCACCTACAATGTGGCTTGCCTCCAAGAAGAAATTGACTCAGAGGGACATGCAAACTCTGCCGGGCTGCCACGAAGTCTACAAACCGAGATCATTCGCTTAAGACGTTGGATTGTGGAGATCTGATGCCGCTGGGAGAAGTGGGGACTTCCCCGGCGGGTTTCCAGTAACCTGCGACAGCGTGCATGGTCAGCTCGATCTTTCTGGGGTACCCCGGAGGCAATGCAGTGGACGATCTAGCCCTGGTGTGAAATAGTGAATGGTAATTGGTCTGATAAGATGAACTGAAATGGACCCATGACTAGGGGAGGGAGAAAACGGCCAATGACCGATTGCTAGACATGGGTGGCGGGGAAAAGCCTTTCCCCGGAAGCTTAAGGAGAGGCGCGGCCACTGTGAAGTAATCCATTGGCGACTGTCTGCCGGAGAAATTATCAGTTCTCAAGTCATCACTCATATTACCCGTGTTATTTTCATTGGCTCCTGTAAATTTTCCTTTATCGTGAGGTAGAGGTGGTTGTTGGTGGTTGTAGTAGTGGGAAATCATTCAGCCCGGCAGATGTTCTGTCAACAATGAAGCATCGACTTTTCATCTCATGAAACAGGTTATATAGACCAACAAGCAATCATTTCGCCTCATATGTAGAATATGATAAAATGATATTACTCGAGGGAAGTGGGATAGGTGGAAGAATAAAATGTTTCGATGTTTCTCCGGCGGCTTATCGCTTTCTCGCAGATTCCACGACGCCTATTTGATAAAGTCATGTGATAGTTGTATCAAGGTGATCGTACGTACCAGAGTAGCTATTGAAGAGGGTACACGATGGCCGTCTGGCCTAGCAGATAAGACAAGAGCGATGCAACAACACCAGCCATCCAAGGAGGTCAGCTAGCAAGCATAGGGACCATACAGACCATAGTAATTCCCTCTATCTTAGTGGAGCAACATCGTATAAAACCCTTTTCATTCTATGGGATTCTATACGCTAATTTATATCTGACATGAAGGGCCGGTATTTCTCCCTGTCTGAAAATATGGCAACTATCTGGGGTTTCCCCACTGTACGGAGTCGGAGTATTAAGTGAGGATCATCATGTAGCTGCCCTATTGTTCAGGCAGAAAGAAATTAACGCCAAAATACCTGGTCACGTGACACACACAAGGATTATGATCTAATTGCGGAGCGAAGCGAAGCAATTAGTACAGATCAGGCGATAAGTGACCTCTGAATACATAGCTTCATAGTGGGAAATGGCTCGGTTCAATCTTTCCCCGAACTGAAATGTAGGAAAGCCGCCCCACCCGGCAGAGGAAATATCCATGGTACGTATACGGAGTAGTGACTAGTGAGGCTAAGGATTTTCCGTCTGAATTTCGAATTTCGTCTTATAATATTGTAGGCTCCCTTCTGCATATCTCAGAAGGTAAATATACACAATCATCATGTCCGTCACAGAAATCAACCAAACGCAGCTAGAAGAGCCCATCGCCATTCCCTCTAACCGCGATGGCGTCGCCTACCTGTACGGTCACCCTCTTCTGAACTCGCTCTCCCCACCCCTCCACCAGACAGTCTACAATGCGCTCGGTCTCAACTGGACTCAAATCCCCTTATCCAGTGTGTCTGGATCATCAGAGACATACCCTCCCCCATACACACGGTCGCCGCCGATTGAGAAATATCTGGCATCGATCAAGTCGAATCCGAAGTTTGTCGGCTCGTCCGTGACAATGCCCCACAAGGTCGCAATCATGCCATATCTCGACGACCTCACCGAACACGCCCGCCAAGCTGGCGCCTGCAACACCATCTTCCTACGCGACGACCCAACAACCGGTCAGCGCCAATACGTCGGCACCAACACCGACTGCGACGGCATCCGGGAGGCCCTCACACAGAATGCACCTGACCCAACACGCTTCCGCGGCCGGCCCGCGCTCATCATCGGCGGCGGCGGCACTGCCCGCACTGCTATCTACGTTATGCGCCGCTGGCTCGGCTCCAGTCGTATCTACATCGTCAACCGCGACGCCGCCGAGGTCGCCGCCATCCTCGAGGAAGACCGTCGCCGCAACCCTGACCCCAATGCTCAGGCTCCTCTTATCCCCGTCACTGACCCCGCCGAGGCTGCCCGTCTGGAGTCCCCCGCGGCTATCGTATCCGGTATCCCCAACTATCCCCCGAAATCTCCTGAGGAGCTGCGCTCTCGCGCTATCATTCAGGCTTTCTTGGGTACTGCTGCGGATGCGGACAAGCAGCAGGGTGTCATCCTGGAGATGTGCTACCACCCCACGCCCTGGACTGAGATCGCTCACCTGGCTTCTGCCGGTGGGTGGAAGGTCATCCTAGGCTCTGAGGCTTTGATTTGGCAGGGTCTCGAGCAGGCGCGTCTTTGGACTGGAAAGGATGTCATTGGGACCCCTGGCCTCGTGCAGGAGGTTAAGGATCTTGTTTCCAAGACCATTGCGGAACGGGGATCTGCGAAGTCTAGCCTGTGATTTCTTTTATAAAATCACGTTTCGATTTTTTTTAGATCATTGTATAGAGCTCAAAATAGCTGCTAGTTGTATCGTGTATATATAATAGAAGGTGTCCTCGATTTTGCAATACATCTCAATATGTATATCTGTATATCTCATCAGACCTATACACAATAAAACAGGATCAAAAGGCTAAGCCATTCAAGCTCCGGGTCGTGAGTATTCCAGATTACGGACTCGGCGCCAGACTTCGCGTACTGTCCGCTCCTGTGTTTCGCGGCCTGACTCGGTTGCAGATGGACCAGCGGGTCTGAAATGTCATTAGCAAGATCTAACACTAGAAGAGAAATCATTCAAAGACGCACCTAATTGCCAGATACAATCTGCTGCCAAGTCGGACATCCTCGATTGGCGCCGTATCCACATTTTCTGGGGGATTAGCAGTAGTCATCAGTCCACCAGCCTCCAGAAGAATAGCAGCACCAGCAGCGATATCCCTGTAATAGTCAGCACCAGCATACCTAACTTCAACTCTCCAAGAGATAGAAGTAGAAAAAGAGAAAAGAAAAGCAAAACTTACCACTCCCAACAACCTCCCTCCCACCAAATATCAAAAGAACCCATTGCAACATACGCAAGATCAAGCGTCGCACTGCCCAAACTGCGTACACCATGCACCATACCACCTCTCCCATTCCGACTACCCACCTCCGCAGCCATATTGACAAAACTCTCAATCTTGCGATGCATATTTCCATCTGGAATATCGCGGCGGTCTTTACCCCACTCGCAAGAAAAGATACACTGTGAAGGCGCATTGGCGGGCATTGGCGGGGTCGGGTTGTGGATGAGCGGAAGACGGCGAGTCTCGTTTAGCCAGGCTCCGCGCCCGCTGCAGGAGGACCAGAGCTGATCTGTGAATGGGGCATATATTACACCAATTACTGGCTTGTGTTGCACGATGAAGCCGATCGAGACACAGAACATGGGGAAAATATGTGTGTAGTTTACGGTTCCTACAAGGTGGGTTTATTAGTTAAGTGTCGGTTTAGAACAATGAGCAGTCGTTCATGGCTCCAGGGGTCCTGATTTTTACCATCTAATGGGTCGATGCACCATGTTGGTTGCTCGTCAATGAGGTAGTCGCGCGACTGGCCTTTGGCATAGGCCTCCTCGCCGAGGAATCTAGGGATCTGTTAGTCTTGTTGCCAGCAGATTTTGGTAATGATACTAACTTGTGAGAGGGGTATCTTGCCTCGAGGGCGCTTCGGATGAATACTTCGACGTCTGCCAGGTAACACTGTGAGCGAGTCTGATATGCCTTATCGGCTGTGCTGCCTTACCTTCGTCGGTTTGTGTCACAATATCTACTGCGTTTTCCTTCTCCTCAAAGGCGTTGGAGGAGCCATTTGCGCCTGAAATCCGCTGGTCAACACGCTCCATGAGCATCTTGCCTGCCTTGCGGCCCAGGTCTACTGCGAAAGCGTATATCTCATCCAGCTCATCTCGGGAGAAGGGTCCGACGGCCATGGTGAAACAGATTAATGGGGATTTGTGGAAGCGACGTCTCAAAATATGTTCAGAAGCAAGGTCGAAGGGAAAAGCCTAGCTTCTTGAGTCATCCGGTGAAAATTGGTGTGTCCAAAACAACCGTCACTAACCGACGCCGGGAATTGCTTATCGAGACGTTTCCCCACTTTATGGGGAAATTTATAGCTTCACTTGGCGATATTACTAAAACTCGTAGTTCTATGCATTGTTGCCTCACTTGACTCGCTACTAATTTTCTCTCTTTTGTAGTTCGCTCTGTAGCCATCTTTTGGTTCTCTGTGCAGCGTCTTTCTCGCCTAACTCAGGATATAGATCAAGCACCGTATCAAGTTCAGACCTTGCAGCTTTCATATGCCTCTCAGTCCAAGGGCAGTTAACCTCCACGAATCTCTCATGTATCCCTTTGAAGTGGAAGGCTGATTGGAAAAAGAGCCTTTCTCCCGAGTCTCTCAGTAAGGTCGACACCGTATGAGGTAGATCTCGTAAATGCTCTAGCCTCTCGATCGCGGCCTCTAGATAAGCACGATCCTCACTGAATGTTTCTCCCACTAGTACGCCGTCATTATTCCATCCGGGAATATCAGCTATAAACCACGGGTGGTGGATAATGGCCGGCAGGGGAGCCATATACATCCAATCCCAATCGATGATCCTGTATATTTTATGATGTCAAAACATGATTATACCAAGTTCCCGTCCTGGTCTAGAAAAAGAGAGAAGAATGGTATGAAAACAACGGATTTTGCCTACCCAGTCAAGCGGAAGTCATCATTTTTCATGATGTTATATGCATGCAAGTCCCCGTGGGCAAATCCAATACCTGTATACTGATCAAACTGAACAGCATACCCTGGAATCATAGACCGCATGATGAGATAGTCGATAGCATTACCCCATTTAGCGGTTCCATTCAAGGTTCGCCGGATACCTCGATCTAGGCTTTCTGTGAGCCAGTCCGAGTACAGGCATGGTTGCGCTATAGTAAGGTCAGGAGGAGCCCGTGCAGTCCACATTTGGAGCAGAAAATCGGCCATGTCATTTAGAAATGCTTCGCGTTGGATCTGAGGAATATGGAGATTCCAGATAGTCAGTGGCGTGCCATTGACCCATTCCGAATAGATGACCGGGTGTTTTGGGCTGAAAAAAAGGCTTGGTGCTTTGATTGATGTACATTGTTCTTTCAAACATCGGAAAGTTTTCACTGCACGTAGTTCATTTTTCCAATTATTGGAATCGTGACCGACTCGAGCAGCCCACTCTACAGAATCCTCAAAGGCAATTTTGAATACTCTGTGGGAGCCGCCATGGCGGGGTGGTTTATCGCCAAAGGAGGAGGGAACCCCTAGGCGGAGTTGGCTGGCCTCCGAGAGAATATTTGGCAAGCTCACCATGCTGAGGCTTTTAGGTGGTCTTGGTTTGATATGAAGCGGGGGTACGGGGGATAAATGGAGAGAGAATCGGTGAGTGTCACAGCGCCAAGGCTGTTTGCTTATGATTCAACGGCCAATAGATCAGGACATTGATCCCCTTACTGTGTAGCAACGTGCGTGGGCTGATCCTAGTTTTTGTATTGTATATTATATTTGCGTTGAAGGATATGTTTCTAGTTGACAAATATAATGAGAATAATATATTTCGTGTGGCTTGTCGTCTCAAAAACAACGGCATCTGCGGCATAAAGTTGGACATTCCACTAATTTAATACATGAAAAGAGTGTGAATACGCATATCTTCCGGCGTGGGTTTGCCGCCGACTTCCCTTTGACTCATTATTATGCTGAGTCTGAAGAATTAAAAATCCTCTTGTATCTAACATTGATTGGATCAGAAGCAAGCCAACGAAGTTCGTATTGTCTGCGGCAATGTGTCATCAGATACAGACGCGGCAGGAATATCCCAAGTTTCCTTGTATCTGAATTCGTCATGGCACAGATTGGGCAGTTCACCACTAGCTACGGTTAATCATCATTCATAGGAGTAGCTGGCCATATTCAAGTCGGCTGTCCATCCATTTGCTGTAACCTGTCTCGTATCGCTTCATGATCATTATTCCCTTCGTCGTCTTTGTACTCTTGAAGCACAATGCTCCGCATAACGCGCCTGGGAGCGCGGCGGCCAGTGAACAGTTCAAACTGAGCGAAGCCTTGTTCTGGCAGAACATCAAGGCCATCCAGGGCTACCCAACCGCGATGGGATAGGGCTCGTGTTTGTTTCATGAGAGGGGTATTGAGGGGCTTGTATGCGAGCTAAAGTCATTGGTTAGGAATAAAACACCATTATTTTGGGTTGGTACAAGAGTAAAAAGGAAACTTACGTCAACAACAACGCCACCTGTCGGGCTCTCTAGCCATTGTGCTGGCATATGGAAATTAGGTGCTAGCTCGCCGCCAATGCTATGAGCCGGAATTCCTGAGACAACGATCGTCGGCTGTTTGAAGTCGGCAGGCCAGGGGTCAGATAATGAAGCAATAATGCGAACTGTGGGACGGCCAGACCCGCTGGCCTCTTTTGAGTGTAGATCTTGCCGGTTGTAGTGGTGGGCCAGTCTTTCCGCATTGGCGATCGTACGGTTGTAGACAAAGATATTTTGCACACCAAGATGGATCATGGAGTAAATTGCAGCACGGGCCATTCCACCAGATCCGATGACAAGACCTGTCGATGATGAGCGTATCGCATTTGCCGGAGACAGACCGCGGCGAATGCAATTGCAGATACCGATCCAATCGGTGTTATCACCGTGAAGTCCCTTGATAGGGCCAGCACGGCTCTTTTGGAGAAAGACTGAAGATTCTTGAAGACGGTTGTCGTCCAGGTCATCAAGGTTGCGGATGGGGATGAGGGTATTGACGGCACCGATAGCTCGTGCATGCGCAGACATTGAGTGGAGGAGAGGAATACACTCTGTTTTGTATGGAAGACTGACACTTGATCCTCCGAAGTATTGATTTTCCACAAGTTCATTTAACCCCCGTAGAGTAGGTGATTGGTGAATGGAGTAATTGTGTGGCAAACCGCAGATTTTGAAAGCCGTGTTGTGCATCGCGGGCGACATACTGTATGTGGTGTTGGCGCCAAAGACGAAGAATTGCATCGGGTCCAAGGCAAATGAGCTATAGAGCGCCTTCTGCACTTCTCGGGCTGTGATATATGATCGTAGGTGAGTTGGAAGTTCCGTTACCAAGGACGGATGTGTGACTGGGGAGAGAATAGGATTGAAGCAGCGAGACATGCGGCCAAGAGGACCGGTGTTATAGGCGATCAGCGAAATGCCAGCAACTGGCAGGCTTTGGATGCGATGGCGAAATCTTTGCACCGCGAGGTTGTCTTCGGGTGTCTCAGCCGGTTGGCATAGTCGGACTATGTCGCATCCTAGGCTTTTGGCCCGCTCATAAACTTCCATATACTCATCGCCATCCCAACCCCCGGCAGAGGATGGAAGGCTTCGAAGTGGCCAATGATCCTGGTTCGTCCACTTGCGGAGATGATCTGGGAAATGATATTGTCATCACGGGTGAGGTCAACTGTGAGGAAACCGGTGGAGAGTCGCAAGCCATGGCGGACGAGGTTTAGGTACGTTTCATCGGTACATCTCACGGGGACTTGATTGGGAGACAGAGGTCCTGTGGGGGTGGTATAGCTTTCCACATGGTATATCAACGGCACAATGATGTTGCGACGGATTGTTGCTACCGCCTGACTAATACTGTCCGCAAGACTTGAGCTGAGGCCTGGCTGACCAGAAGAGTCTGTTACATCGACTGCCAGTTCGAAGGCATCGGCAGTGAATTCCAGCTGCTCAATATCCATGCCCTTCTCACAAACCTTAGAAAATGGCACTGACACTGCAGATGTGTACATACGAGATTCCACAGGCAACAGCGACAGCGGGAAAGATGCATGCTGGCTGTTAACTTCTGCAATGTCCCCGGTTATGAAGGCGATGAACCGGAGAAAGTCCCGCTGAACTCGTTTCAACGTTAAAAACGGAATGGGAGTATGTGACCTAGGTTCTGTTCGATACGTCGGTGATGCAACGTCGCTATCACTTCTGGCCTCTGACAGATTGAAAAATTCGAGATTCGAGCACCCTCGGTATATCGGTCCGGACAATTCTAGGAAATGTCGCACCTTTTGCGTATCCCACGCTTTGAGATATAACTGGATGCTCTCTGCATCTCTAACAACGTGGATAACAGGATGCGTCTGCGCATATTCCCTAAGAAGTCGTTGGCCACTGCGTTCCATCGACCCGGCCCCGCACGCAATCACACACCCATCCTGGTTGTCTGCTAGCATCGACTCAAAGACCCGGGCCTCTTGTTGTCGGTAAACAGATCCATCATTTTCCTTCTTAAACTCAGCACGGGAACATCCCACAGTCTGATGAAAATAGCGGTCTGCATCGATCAATCGTCGACCGGATGTCGCCGCGAGAATGACCGCCAGACTTGACTTTCCCGTGCCACGGATTCCGATCAACACGACAGATGCCTTCGGGTTGAAGGTGCGTGGGGTTTGAAGATGGCCCTGTTCAAACAGTACCGGAGATCCGCGGTTCGAGTTCAATTCTTTGAGCGACGGTGGATGCGAATATACGGATGCTTGTGTGCGTTCACTCGATGGACGTGAAGCTGGTCGAGATGAGGGGCGAATAGTGTGAGGGGGCACGACGCCTGGGCTATACTTTCGAGGCCCATCATCTAAAGTCTCGACTTCGTGGAGCTTTCGTTTCGGTGGGCGTACCAACATGGACATGGCGCATAGAGTGTTCCACGTGCGGGAATGAAATCAGGAGCAGGGTAGTTGAGGACCCATTACCACAGAGGGAAAGGTGGGGGCCACGGTAGGGTATTGAGATATGTGTATAGAGGATCCGGAGATGTGGAGGGAACGAACCAATATGGTAAGCGGGATTTTCCAAGTTTTGCGGGGGAAAAGGATATTCATGAAAAAGGCGTGGGTCTGGGTGCCCCCGGGCCATACGCTACCGTTACGTAAGGCGGACGAGCACTCACCCGGCCATCCCATATCAGATTTTGCCTGCAGTATGATTCGTAATAGTATAGGTATTTTATACATTTGAATACATAAATAACACACCAATTCAAAAGTTATACATCGAAAAGTCCTTCATGTCTGAATTCTCTACTCCGTACATTGATTCTCAATAAATATAACTCTTTTTCCATCTAGCTATTTACTAGATAAGTTTCCGGTTTATAATGAAAATATAGAGTACTAATTGTCTAGGTAATTTGATGGTAATGAGGCAGTAATGAAAAACTGGCGGTGAGTCAGGCGGTCAATATTTACTAGTATAGGAAAATCTGATATGGCGGTTAAAGATTGCGTAACCCGGGGACTTTCGATTTTCCTCTTCCCCGCGGGGGACTTGCGCTCAGATACGAACATGCGAAACAACTGGGGAAATTATCGAAATTTCTAAAGTTTGGTCTGAATTGCGACCCTAGCTTACCCAAAAAATCAGCTTCAAATTCTTAGCCTAAAGCTCAGTCTGCACGCGATTACCTTTTGCGAGACAGTGACTGGCTCACCGGTAGCCGGGTATCGACCCTTCCCCGGAAGAACCTCGTTAGCAAGCGTCTTGTTTTGTACTGCACCTAACCTCAACATCGCGCTTCCCCCACCAGCCCTGATATATTTCCAGTGCAGCTCATTTTCATGGCGTAATCGCCCGATCGTCCGTGCAGGCGCCTGTCGGCAAAGGATTCGTCACATATCACTTTGGGGGAACATGCGCCCGAATCCTCCAAGTGGATCGCAAAATCAACTACCATGAGCGCCGAACAGCGGCAAGCCATCGGCACTAGCAGCAAGTCCAAACGACGATGGACCGAGCCAGAAGATGACGGGAAGGCGACAGGGGAACCGAAACGTCAGCGTGTTTCACGGGCTTGCGATAGTTGCCGGTCGAAAAAGGACAAATGCGACGGAAAACAGCCAGTTTGCTCGACTTGCGCATCGCTCTGCCGACCGTGTACTTATAAAGCCAACCCAAAGAAGCGAGGCCTGCCCACTGGCTACATTCGCTCACTGGAGTTACTTTGGGGGCTGGTATTCCAAAGGATCCAAGGCAGTGAAGATGTCATGCGAGCTTTGATGCGATCAATCAATCTTCCAAGTCACTTGGCCACGATGGGCAAGGAAACGGAGGGGTCCGATGCATTGCTAGCTTCATTCAAAAACAGCACAGTACTCAGAGATATTGAGCGCATTCTTATAGCACTAGAACAGCCGGAGGAGGAAAGAGAGCGAAATCTCCAGGGATATGGCGATGGAGAGACACCTCTCGATATCGATGGAATTCTTTCGTCCGCCGAAGCACAGGAATGGCAGATCCCAGAAGGCATGGAAGCTCGCGAGACGCCATTACCAGGGATATCGCCGACTCGAACCGCAGTAGGCATCGCTCCTACGAAAGTCACCGGACCACGCCCGACTACAGACTGTGGTATTCAGACAAGTGCACCAGATGACCAACCCTCGTCCTCTTTCATCTCCTCGCCGAATCCTCATTACCCTCGATCGCTCTCCATGAGAACCCCTCTTCAACTCCCCTATAACGCATGGCCACTTTTTGATGTATATTTCTCCTACACGCAGTGTTGGTTCCCCATACTCGAAAAGCATGACATACTTCGTACCGCTTTTCATTATACCGAAGGCGATGTATACGCATCGTGTTTAACCCCCGGGTCTGGGGAGCACGCGGCCTTGTGGGCTGTTCTCGCTCTCGCCTCGCTCCAGGATGCTTCTATCTCAGCTTCCGGTGAAGCCGAAGAGCACCCTACTGATCATATGACTCCATCACGAATGTATAAGACTGCCCGGCAATTGATTCCGCCTGAAAGTGGCCCTCACGAAATCGGACATGTGCAAGCACTGTTGATCCTGGGTCTAGTCAAGTTTGGACAGCAAGAATGGACTGGGTCCTGGATGCTTGTCGGTCAGGCTGTTCGGATTGCGCATATACTAGGTCTTGATCAACCTTCGTTTTCTCCATCATCGAGGACTCCGGATCAAGAAAAACAGCTTGGTCGAGCAAAACATGTGTTTTTGGGTTGCTTTGTTCTCGAGACTCTCATTGCGGAATCAATTTCACAATGCCCATCGCTGCGAAAGGCAGACCTAGCCAGGGTAGGCGCTATCAATGAAGATGGTCTTGAGGAATGGCATCCTTGGGAGGATCAAACTGGGTTACGGCCCACCCAATCATCACGGGCATCTATGCAGCGTGGTCCCCTTCACGCGTTGAGCACTTTCAACCGCCTCGTCGGCCTCGTATCCATTTTGAATGATCTATGCTGTTGCAAGCACGACCCAACGATATCTCGATCACAGCTGGAGCAACTGGAGTTGCAATTACAGCGATGGGTAACAGAATTACCAAAGAGCTATCGTGTCGATCTACAAAGTCGCCCTGTGAGACTGGCTTCTCCACATATTTTTGGGTTAGAGATGACATATGAAAGTGTTGTCATTGCTCTCAGCTCTCAAATTGCCATTCGTGAATATGATCAGAACATACCCGAACCCCCTCACAAAATTCGTGCTACGGAAAGCTCGAAAAAGCTTTTGCAATTGCTTCAGGCATATGTGGAGACATATAGCTTTTCAGCCACAGCACCAACCTTTGGTTTGATGCTTCGATTTGGCCTTCCACGGTCCATCTCTAGGGATCTCCCATCAGTCCTTGACATGGGGCTACGAACCAACATATACAATCTTTCTTCGCAGCTTTCTGTATTGTGGACTATGCCAGACCAGCAAACCGCTAGTCAAGGTATATCACAAAGATCTCACCACCTAGGTACTTCTCCTGCGGTCTCACAGCATATTGGTGCCTCTACCGGCGGAGATTTAGAAATCCCGTTATCGCTCTCAATGGCCACACCTTCACATCATCTTCGTGCAACACATGCGTCTCAAAATAATGCTCATGCCGCGGCTGCCCCTGAGAACCCATTCCTCCCCACGCCTTGGCTCAGGGCCACACAACACATCGAAGATGTATCTCTTCTCCGCACACCGTCCTCTCTAACCTCCGTCGGGGGCGCCTCTGAACTTCCCCCACAACAGAGCCACTTGGATGATTCTCTTAACATTGGGCTTTCTCATCCTACATCAGCGCCTAGCCAATCCCACAGTACCGGGATGCTCGCCGAGCTTTCGCCATCGTATCACCAGACCGCACAATACCAACCAACTGCATATCACGACTCATCCGTCAATATGGGCACATTTGTTGATATGGATGGCTATGCGCGTCCACGGAGGCAGCGGATTGCTCCTGATCTCGATGCATTATTTGACGAGCTGGCGTCATTAGATGGTGCAGAAAAGTATGCATTCATCCCCTATTTTTGTGGCATGATCACTGACTTTAACCCTCTGTAGAGCCGACAATCAACCAGAGTTCATGCAGAACCTAGGTTTTGTTTCTAATGCGGGTATTCCTGAGCTCTACTCGTTCTCCAGTCAGATCGATCCTTTCTTACTGGCAGAGACCCAGCAGCTACCCAACAATGGCAATACCTCTAGTATGCGACAAGAAGCGCAGCTTCTTAATATGTCGGGAACCCCCAAGCGATGACGTGATGTGGGATCACTCCATTCCAATGATCTGGATGCCGTGGGAACACCCTGTCGCCGCTGGTCGGCCTCGTTGGCCTCTGAGTCTGCTATTCATATGGACTCTGGACTAAAGCTATACATCTAGTTGTTGGCTCGCATATTATATCACACATTCGAAGCCCCAAAAGGGAGTCTCAATTTGTGTCTGTGTGTGTGTTGTGTAATGCGCGGCGCATCTCTACAATATACAAAGCTATTCCAGGCTAGGCAACTGGTAATACAAGATATCCTCTATGACAGATATGAAATCACTAGTCTACAAATTAATTTCTCGAAAGGATGAGCGCCTTTACAAGAGGACTTCTACATGAATCCATAAAAGTTTTCCACAAAAAAGAGTATATACAGTCACATATCCCAACTCAATCACAGCGCAGCCTTAGCCTCCTTTTCCTTCTCCTCGAAATTAGCACAAACATGCTCAACTGCAACCTTATACCCGTATACCCCAAGACCAACAATAATGCCCGCAGCCTTATCACTGAAGTACGAATGATGTCTCCAGGGCTCGCGCGCATGGACATTGCTCACATGGAGCTCAATAAAAGGGATACTGACACCGAGCAAGGCATCGCGGATCGCAACGGAGGTATGCGTGTATGCGCCTGGGTTGATGATGATACCGTCGACCTTGCCACGCGCCGCCTGAATGCGGTCCACGATGGCGCCTTCGTGGTTCGACTGGAAGCTTTCGAGAACAGCACCATGGCTGGCGGCGACCTCGCGACTGTTTGACTCTATGTCGGAGAGCGTTGTGTGTCCGTAAATGTGTGGCTCGCGTGTACCCAGGAGGTTCAGGTTAGGGCCGTTGATTAGGAGGATGGATTTGCCCATTTTGAGTGGTTTGATATCCGAATTGGGGGATTCGATGGTATTTGGGGGATTGTGAAATTGAGAGACCGGATATTTCAAGGGTTATAAGATTGAAGGTAAGCAGGTTATCGGATATATTCATGTTATACTCTTCTCTCCGCATTTTGCCCGGCCCGGCAGAGCGCTTTGCCGTGGATGATTTTTTGGGGGCAACTAAATCTTTCAAATGTCTAAAATTAATACAGAACTTTTGCTAGGACTACTAGGGTAAAATCTAATTAATTCTTTATCTGACTAGAGGGAACCTGGAAGTCGCTGAGAGAACAGCAGTAGAGGGAACAACAAACCGGAGATTGAGAGAAGGCATGATACCGGTTTGTATAACTTCTGTTTGCTTCCACATATTTAAAAGAGAGTGTACTTCTAAAAGACTGAGTTTCTTACCTTTTTTTTGGTGCGTCATCACCCCGTCACCCAGTCAGATGTATCCATCATCCATTATCCACTATCATCGCCAGAAATAACTACAAGAAGCCATCCAGAATCAAAATGCCCAATCCATTCGCCACTCTCTCTCGCCGTGCGCGCCAACAGGAGGTGCGCCGGCAAGCTCGTGACGAAGCCATTACCGGCATTGATCGAACATACAAGCTCCTTGAGTTATACCCTCAGATGCGTATCGAGCCGACACAATACGATACTCTTGGGGTCAAATGTGAGCTGCTCGCCCTCAACGAGGATAGTGATGATCCCAGACCTTCCGATTCTCCCACCGACGAACCTACATTTTTCCTCCCACGCAAGGTCCCTGAGGTGGGTATCAATTCCCCCAGGTGCGAGCGATATGTCAGTTACCTCTCCCAATGCTGGGGAGAAGATGCAACGATCCAAATGTCTAGAAGCTTTACTACGCAAGCGTGGGAGTTGTGGGGCCGTATCGAGAATATGTTCGTGCTCTTTCGACGCCATGAAGAGCCTCCACTGGACGAGGGAGATAAGCGCTCTTTATGTCGAATCGCCCAGTGGCTGCCAAGGTACGAGACCCCAAGGACCTACGAAACGAGAATCTACTAATAAGCACGGGTATATCTCTATAGTAATGGCTTGTCATCCTTGATCGCCGAAAAGTTCGAGCCTACAATTTTGTCATCAAGAGCGTGGACCCCAATCACTGGCTATGTGTCGCGAGAAAAGTCATCCGCTATAAAAAATACTCTCCCTCATGTTCTGATCGTCATCCATATTAGGGGAAGAGCCCTCGGGTGAGCTTTTTCGAGCGGAGTTGATTACCATTACGGCGATTATGATCACGCGACTTGAAGGAGGGAAATTCCCCGAATGCAGCACCATTCCAGTGCGTATATAATTTAAGGAACGCATATTCGTTAAAAGCTAACCCGCATCAATACTGTCTAGGTATTAGCAATGACTATATTTGGACAAATGAAGCTTCGATTCCCCCAGGCATTCTATGGCCAACAAGGCCTAGTGATCAGAAAGACCAATCTTTTTGATTTTTCGACTAATGAGCAGGCCACCAAGAATATGAATACTGTTCTTGATATCATAGCCTCTCGCCAAGTGGGAGATCCTACGGGTCCGACAATCATTCGCCAGGTTTGTACTTCATATGCAAAAACGCTGACTGAGCATTAGCCACCCCAATTGGTCCACTCTACAGGAGAAGTTTCTTTCGAGGAACGGTCACAGACAGTATGACTTTCCTTTTTCCAGACTGTAAAACCGTCTTAATTCGTGAGCGGAGAAAGAAAGGAAGACATGTGATGCCGGAATTTCAAGAGGAGGCCTAAAGGCAAGATGGGTACATGGTCATATGGAATTTGTCTCTCCTCCATGCTTATTGTGATAGTCTGTTAGTTGTCGTGTTTAGACTATTGTTGAAACAGAAGTGAAGTTGAACCTTTTCATTTACTAACACATAAGACCACGAGGAAACCCTTTATGGATTCATATGGGTGGAATCTGTTGTGGAGACTCATCATTTCGGAAAAGGAATAGTAGACTAGGGATTTCATGTCTGTCATAGAAGGTGTCGAACAGAATTCAATGTGAATGGAGATGATTTACGTTGCCCTCGGGAGGATCCATTACGGCTTTAGGAATGGGTGATACATACATATGGTATATAACTAGTAGTTATATAATATTTTGGGGTGGCCGGCTCGCTTGTAAAATACATTAACTGGTTAGTTAATTACAGGCTGTACTAGTTAGTTGGCTAACAATTAGCCCTAGTTAGAGGGTTTAGTTGACTATACGTGAGGATTTACAAAGGTACATATTGAAGAGGGAGATGCACGATGGGCAGTATGGCATAGCAGACAAGACGAGAGCAACCTATAACACCACCGACCAAGTAGGCCAGCTAGCAAGCATGGGACTAAAAAACATCCTTTAATTCAGTTCTTGTGCGCCGTCGAGTCTCCCTAACATGACAAACCAGAGCAACATGATGGTCCGGGTTCCCTTACTAGTTACAATAACTAGGAAATAGTAATTATTATTTACACTATCATAGGCTGAGACCGACCTCATCTTCAAGACACGTACGGAGTGAGAAACTTCGTGCTCACAGCATTCGGAAGACTATATGTAGGCACAACTTTCAAGACCAGTGAACTGCCTTTGACGTAAGTTTATTCAAAAAAATAGGAAAAGTTAGGGAAAGATAGAAAATTACTGTAAAAAAGAAACTATATTAACCTGGAAACACCCCAGCTATGACGTTGTTGAAAGACAACACACAAGACCACGAGGGAAAATGGTCACCACAATGCAAAAAAAGAGAAACCACCATCTATATAAACAGATACCAAGACTTTTGCTCCGATCCTGTACTGCAATCGGAAGTTGAGTGTTCCTCTTTTATCTTTCTCTCTATTTTCTCTTGGGTTGGACCTCTTGGCCCAACCTCGTCTGTGGTCGTCCAGGACCACAACTTTGATTATTTTTCATCGGTTAGATTCGATTTCGACGTAGGCTGACTCCGGGGATATTGTTGAATTTCTGGAGTGCCATGTTGAGTGTTCTTGCAACTGCAAGAATGAGGTAAAGGGGTAGGTGGGATTGTGTCAGGATCATGAGGAATTCATGGCGCTGACATAGTGTTCGGGAATGAAGCGCCGAAAAATGTCATTTCATGAGGGGATTGGAATCCAAACGGGGAGACTGCGAATGGCTTTATGCCTCCGACGCCCAGCGGGACTCGCGCAGCGGCATCTCCTCGCCAGCTTGCTTGCGGCTTCCGTCTACCTCGCGCTTCCACGCGTAGTACTCGCCGAGACGGGTCTCAGCGTAGCTGGCGTAATCGAAATCGATTTGGGAGATTTGCGCTTGGATGAGTGCCCAAACACCCCTAGGAGATATGATTAGCATGATATGACCATTATGCTGATCTTTCAATTTTGTTCGCTGAACTCACCAGTAGAGACCGGGAATGCCACGGAAGCGGTCAACATCCTCGTACAGCCGGTCGACAATCTCAGCCTGGGACGAAGCGTCAAGACCGCGTTGTTCACAGTAGCTCTTCGTGTACTCGGTAAGGAACTGACGGCGCACAGACTTTGTCGGCATCATGTTGTAATCGCAGTCGTAGCCACCCCACTCAGCAAGGTGGTTCGATATATCGAAGGCCGCGGGTGCAGGAACGGCATATTCATAATCGATGAAGTTGACTGGCGCGACACCGTCTTCGGGGGTTGGGACACCGTTCTCGCTTGGAAGGACAATGACGTTGGCGCAGAGGAGATCGCAGTGCGAGAAGACGAGCTATAAACCCAGCGATTAGCCATTTATTCAACAAAGCAATGCCCGTTACCAGCGGATTCAGGCTAGGAGCCACATACCCCGTCTTCACCAATCCCCTTCCCGTCGTCCAGCATATCCAAAACCCACTGCAGCTCGGCTTGCAGGCTCAACCGGCGAGCACGCTGCTCGGGTGTGGTCACTGGCAAAGCCAGCACCCACTTCTGCAGCACAGCCCACATAGATGGGCCCGCGCGCCGGGGCTTGATTACAGTGATCTCATCGTCCTGGGAGTTCGCAATCTCGGCCACGGGAGCGTCCTTGTCAGGCACGGCTGCGCTACTAGGAAGGACGGCGTGCCACTGCGCCAAGCGGCGAGCGACACCGCGCCAGATGGGCGGGGAAACTAGATCTTGGTGGTTGCAGGGTCTGCCGCGAATGAAGCGGTAGAGCAGGCCGTTTTTGAATCGAGCGAGGAGCGGCGGGGCCAGGCCACGGTTGGCCAAGAGTGCGTGGGACTTGGTTTCTCCTAAGAATAATTGATCTACTTCAGCATATGTCGCAATGGGCAAGAGAGGCGCGGAGGGGCTTTGTTTTGTTGGAGAAGTGGGAATCTTGACGAAGATTGTCCGTCGGGGGGATTTTGCTCGTACTTTCGCGATCTATGAGGATCTCTGTGCCATTTCCGTACGCCCTCATCAGTACTGCCTCATTGTCTATTTGTTCCTCCGTCAGGCCGGGTTTCAGGTTGATAATTTTCAAGAGCTAGGGGGCTGTTAGTCTCGGTTTAATTCCGAAAAGCTTATTGCTGGTCTCATGGGAAGCAATACTGGGAAAGAGGGACACACGGTATTGGTGATGCCGTCGGTGAACCGCACGAACTCAATGTTGTTGCCAGGACCCTCCCAGTCGGGGTTGAGGGTCAGGATTAGCCTGAGAGCAGATGCCTGGGAGTCCTCATGACTGTATGATAGGGGAATGTATCGGAATTCTGGCGTGGCCGCCTGAGTGTATGTCGAGCCCATGTTGGGATTGGGTGGAGCGGAGGTAGAAAAGGGGTATGGGCGCAAGTTGGTTTGTGTGCCAGGAAGATTTTGTGCTATTTGATTAGTCCACAACTGCTTGACAGGCACCCCTATATCAGTGACGAGATCCTCGAATTCAAGATTTAGATAATTGCACGAGGCCAGGCTGCTAGCGCAGGGTGCGAATGGCGATAGATTCTAGAACGAAGTAAAGCACAATGTGGAAAGGCGGATTCTGTATTATGGCGAAGGTACAAAAGATTCAGGGGCGAAGAATTTGAAGACGCTATCGATGGCGGGGAGGTCAATGAAACAACGAGGGGAGGTCTCGTGCTCCCGACCCGTGATTGGAAGATGGGACGATTTTCTGGGGCCTAGGGTACATTCTTGAGGGCAAAAAGGACTTGTCCGCCGCCACTATAACTAGTAGTATATAGATGTAATAAGTTGTGGTTCTTTGAAGATATAAGCCTATTGGATACCTATAGAATTATTCCTTCATGTCGTGCTATTTGTTTCAACCGCAATTGCATGGCGAAGTCGTACTAGAACATCTTGGTTGCGCGAAGTATGTACGATGTACATTGCTTTCGGCAGGTCCAAGTCACGGGGCAATCACATGAAAGACAACCTTGAAGACAAAAAGAGGGTCTATGGTCACATGCACGGGCCAAGCCCTGAGCTTAGCCCTACTTACCCAATCCAACAAAATCCCTCAACAAAAAAAAGCGAAATTAGTCATAAAATCCAGTATTAGTCAACGAAATGGGAAAACCCTTCCACCGAAGCCCAATCCGCTCTAGCGTATATTGACTTGCAGACACATAAATAGGACCTCCTGGCCCGCGCCTTTACTCTTTTTTTCTTTTCTCTCCATCATCAGTAGAGGTTTACATAACTTAATGTAAATTTCAACGGGGCTCCACAATGTGGCTTGCTGAGGGTTATCCTATGGTTTCGGCCATCATGGGTTTTCTTCCGTTCCCGGCCCTGGAGAGTAAAGGCGTCTCTCTTTTTCCCAATCACTTTATGGCTATGCTAGGGTATCCTTCGGGAAGCCCCATGGGTGCTAGCTGTGGAGAGGGCGTCACATACCATTTTTTTCAGTCACTTTGATGTGTTCTGGAGGTTTTGCTTGCTCTGATCTTCGAATTTGATCAGAGTGCAGCGAGCGTAGTAGCGTTGGATACTGCGATTTTCAGGTGGCTCGGTACACGGTTTCAATGTTGTAAAAATTATCTACAACTCATCTTAAAAAGAGCATCAGAAACTTCCCTAGGTTTTATGATCTCTTGTGATGCCGTATCTCGCCAAGACGAGACCATAATGTTCGGGTCTTTCTTGCCAAGATATATCGTTGATGTCGGCATGCCGAGGCCTTAAGCTATATGACCCAAACTAAGTCACTACATGTACTACTCTGTACCGCTGAAGCCGAAATCTTCATTGTCATCACCGTCATACCTTTTAAAATTCTCTATCGTGTATTTTTTCACATGTCACCATTCATGCATGCCCAGCATTGCCAATCTGAATGCGCTGTCCAGTCCACTTGTCGTCACTGCGCAACACCGGCCAGCTAGTACCATCGGCCTTGATCAGGCTCAAATCTAGCTTAGTGCCCAGCACGCGGAAAGTTGACTTCTCCGGGTCAATTGGCGCAAAGAGAGTATATGTATCCTGGTAGCGCTTGTTGTCCGTGGTGGGAAGGTCGAAGATAATCGAGTTGGTAGCAAACTCAACCTTGGCCCGTTGCTTGTCAATCTTCTTAAGATAGAGGGAGACGTTCACGGCGGTGGGAGTCTGGTAGAAATCGTTCCTGTAAATTGCGAAAGTTTGTCAGTTTGCTGTTTTCAAACCAGAATA